TTCAATTAATGTGAGCGAGTGGCTAGTAAATTGTTAATCAAGTTTTATTTCGGATGCTTGACTGTTCAGTGTCACTCATCAATGGTTTGGTTTCAACATACATACATACATACTTACGTGTTAAGTTAATATAATTGTGGATTGATATATATATAGATATATTGATAGATACATAGAGAAATATATATAAAGAAAGATAGATACAAATGAAAAATAATAACGCAAACAATGAGAGAAAGCTTTCTTTTCAATGTTCCTTCTTAGAAAGACGTGGAAAAAATGTTCGCTAGTTATCGAAGAATAATCTGGAAATTTTCTGACATTGTTTTGACGTTTCTTAGACGTGTATCTGTGTTTTTGTGTGTGTGTGTGACATGTGTGTGTGTAGCATGTGTGTGTGTGTGCGTGTGCGTCTGTGTTTATAGCAGTTTGGGGATGTTAAAATGACGTGCCCGTGACGTTTACTTGGCGTATCTGACAGCAAAGTCAATCTCAGTTTTTCTTCCTATAATGTTTCTCTAAAGAGAAGACATGCACGCAACAACATCTAACGTTACATACACACATACTTATGAATAGAAGGACAGGCAGACAAACAACCATACATACATACAAACAAGCAAGCAAACACACACACACAAATACATAAAAACAGACACATAAACTCACACGAACATATAATTCATATGCATTTTTACTTTTAATAAAATTTGAATTTTTCACTATAGAGCCGTCTAACTTAAATATGTTGACCATTATTTCGTCATAATTTAATGGTATCTATTTGTTGTTTGATAAAAATCTGGCAGACGCAGTGCGTTACAATTTCTCATCACATTTCTATTTAACTAATTTTTCATTTACTATAATATTTTACAAAAAAAATTCTTAGAAAAAAATACAATACAATATTTGTGTATTTCGAAGAACTGATCATTAGTGAGTATTGATGCAGTGTGGGACACGACTGAGTGTACTACTAGGATGGAACCCAATGAAGCTAACAATATCAAATACTTTCAACTGCAAATTTTATACTCTCTCTCTCTCTCTCTCTCTCTCTTTCTCTCTTTCTCTCTCTCTCTCTATGACAGGTACAAATTCAATTATTATAGTCTGTAGTTTTGCCTTTCTTTTTTCCTCTTACCTACCTACACACATATACACATACACACACATACACATACACACACATATACATACACGTACACACACACTCACACACACACACACACACAACGTCAAAACAACGTCAAAACAACATCAGAACTTAACACCTCGGACGTTGAAGATGAAGTGGTTAATTTTTCCACCGATTAAATGTGATAAATTCACTAAGTGCAACTGCTGAGAGCCATTGTAATTTTTTTCAAATTTGACAATTTTCTATGAAAAAATTTTGAAAATTATTTTTATATTTTTGTGTTAGGAATTTTCAAATTAATTAAAATTTATTTTCCTAAATCGATTCAAATTTGTTAAAATTAAAAAATAAAATAATTTCCGCATTTTAATAACGCAAACAAAAAAACATGGAAATGGAATAAAAGTTGCAAACATGATGGAAAAAAATTTGTACTTAATAATTGTCCGACAATGTTTGTTGAGTAAACATTCAATTGTTCAACCTTTGTTCGTTCGTTTGCATATTGGATATGTGTGTTTGTTTGTGTTTGTTTGTGTATGTTACTCTGTTTGTTGTTTGTATGTGTATGCATGTTTTTATCAATAACAAATGTTTACCAAGTTGATCGCGTACGATTCTTGTGTATTTTATTGAAAAGTTTTGCGTTTGAATTAGTTTTTATTAATGTTTATCTAGAGATTTTTCTGCAATATGATTATGTTTCGTACACCTACACACGCCAGCTACACACCATTCACACTCCAGACACCACATACACACGCCACATACACACCGCAGTAAGTTTGCTGCCTCTTTCTACCCAAACACTTTTTATTCTATCATCCAAAATTTCTATGCTTCGCACCGTTTTATGTTTCCACGCGCTGCAGATGCTTATGCCGGGGGTTTTGCATATTTGTAATGTAATTTAATGTAATCGCATGTAATGTAATAGTGTAATTTTGGTAATGTTTGTAATGTAATGGGATGTAGTATGAAGGTTCATCACTTTTTCGCGTATAATTTTTTTGTGGTGTTTGTTTTCAGTTGTCTGGTTTGTTCATTTAGAAAAACAAGCGTACACACATAAACACACAGATAAGCAGACATATAAACAACCAAAAAATAATTGTTCATACAAAGAACCAGTATACACAAACACATAAACACACGAACGCACGAACGCACGAACGGAAGTTTGCCTTCCTTTCAAAAGTTTATTCTATGTGAATATTATTGATGCGACGAAGGAATTTATAACGGAAAAAGATGATGATGGTGGTGGAGCTGCTCCAATTGCTGATGATAACGACGATAATGATAATAATGATGTTATTGATGATGACGTCAGTGATGATAATGACGCTATCGATGATGACGTCATTGATGAAAGAAAATGATGATAACGTTGATGGTGATGATAATGTGAGCGACAGACAAATTGTGGAAAAAATGTTGATATTGTTTGCCAAAATGACAAAAATGACTTGATATAATAAGACCTGCAAACAAAAAAGCATTTCCATCATGATAGTGTCAAATTGTTTGAAATCAAATCATCAGGATCATTGCATATACGTGTAGGAAGTATTGAATATATCGTGAATAAATATTCTTAAGCATGTGCAATCGTACGATGTTTTGTATGTTTTGTATGTATGTGTGTATGCATGTGTAAATGTGTGTGTGTGCGTATGTTTGTGTGTTAGTGTATATACAGAGATTTTTTTTCTGAAACAAGTGCATTGCAGCGATGCATATTGATCTTTTTTGGGCGTTTGATGGTTTCCATGACAACACGTCTACGTTTTAATATCCATGGTGTTTTGTCTGTGTTAAATTATCTATGCCAGTACGATGATGATGGTGTGTCTATATTGTGTTACACTATCTATGGAGTCTGTTTTCGCTTTTGGTTTCTTTGGTGCTATAGTTTGATTTACTATGTTCGCGATCATTTGAGTTGTTGTCGATGTTGATTGTCTGGGATTGTGTTGTTTTTATGTTTGTACGAATTTGTATTATAAAATCTGCAAGTGTGTGTGTGTCTGTGTGCGTATATATGTATGTGCGTGTGCGTGCGTGCGTGCGTGTATAATGTTTATTTGTGTGGTACATGAGTGTAAGTTTCCCCAAAGATATTCCACAAATATAAACGTATAGGTGAGCAAATCTTTCCCTAACGACACATGTGCGTGTTCCTCTGCCAGTGACCGTTGACATTTTTTTATTTTTCATTTTGTTTATTATTGATTTTTTTTACATAAAGTTTTCGTCTTTTTTTTTTGAACACTCTCTATTTTTTTCTTTTATTTCTCTCTTTCTCTCTTTCTTTTTTTTCTCTTTCTCATCTTTTTCTCTATCTCTCTAGTTCCTTTCTCTCTTTCTCTTTTTCTCTCTTTTTCTCTCTCTCTCTCTCTCTCTCTCTTCAATTTTATTCCAGTGATGGCTTTTTTATTCTGTTTGATTTACTACTCTAAAAAATATAAAACTTGTTTTACGTATAATGTGTATAATATTAATAATAATAATAAATATTAATAATAATAAATAATAATAAATAATAATAATAAATAATAATAATAATAAACGGATATAACTTTATCGATTGCGTACTTGCATATAAACAGGGCTCTCTCTGAGATATGAAATGTGATTGCCGGTACCCAGCGGACCTATAAGAAGAACGCAAATGTAAATAGTAATAATAATAATAATAATAATAACAATGACATTATTAACTGTGATATAAGTGGAAGTAAAATTGAAGTAAACCGACGAGTTAATATTTTTCGTATGGGATATTCACATCGAAACATCACATCCAGTGTTGGATTACAAATTTTTAGAAACCCTAACTCATCGCCATCTTCACCAGTAACAACGTCATCGTCATTATCGTCTTCATCGTAATTATCATCATCGTTGTCGTCGGCGGCGGCTTTTTCTGCTGCTGCTGCTGCCTCGTCATCAAAGGAAAAACGTTTGATAGATTCCGGTCGTCATCATCTTCTTCGCCATCGTCGTCATCATCAAATTACGTATATCGCTTTCACTCATTTACTCTTTTTTATCATTACACCACTTATCTTTCATTCATTCATTTTTATCATACTAATATTTCTTCCCTATTCACTCATTTACATCAAATAAATTACTGACAATAAATTTACAAATTCATTACCCATATATACATCATATTTTACTCACTCACCAAATATCATAGTCAAAATAATCAATTATTTTACTTCTTTCTATAGTTCTAGTCGAGCTAGAACGTTTTTTAAACATAGCAATCTATTTCATCATCGAATTAGTTGATGTAGTTATCTTTTCAAATACTTCTGATTAAGACGATATAGTTTTTATCATTAGCAACATCATCAAGTAATTACAATCATTGTCGATATCACTAGATGACTTTGATCATCATAGACACCTAAAGGCTTTCATCATCAACATCACCTAGTAACTCTAATCATCGTCATCATCACCAAATAACTTTAATCATCATCATCATCATCACCAAATAACTCTAATCATCATCATCGTCAAATAATTTTCGTCCACGTTCCTGCTCAGTTCCAACAGATAATAGCATCATCATCATCATCATCTTTATCACACTCATCATTAACAACATCACTACTAGTTGACTAGGAACATCTTCTTCGTCGTCCTCTTCATCTTTATCATCTTCGTTGTCTTAATCGTCATCTTCATCGTCATCTTCATCGTCATCATCTTCATCATCCTCATCATCGTCATTTTCATCGTCATCTTCATCGTCATTTTCATCATCTCCATCGTTTCCATCATCATCCTCCTCATCTTCATCATCTCCATCGTTTCTATCGTCTTCATCTCCATTGAGATGGGCAACACGCACGACAGCGAGATAGCCAGGATTGAGGCCGACCACATAGAGAACAGGTGGAAAACTACCGAGGATTACATGTGGGGTTATACCGGGGACAGAGGTGAGATGGTTATGAAAATGAGGGGGATGATGTGGGGTGAGATTGTGATGAAAATGAGGGTGATGATGTGGGGTGAGATTGTGATGAAAATGAGGGTGATGATGTGGGGTGAGATTGTGATGAAAATGAGGGTGATGATGTGGGGTGATGATGTGATGATGACGACGACGATGATAGTGAGAAATGATTCAGTTTGACGAGTATATAATTGAAACGTCAATTTCCAGCTTGGATATTGACGCCAACCTCTTGAACTTGCACACTGCACTATTCCATACTTCTGCTACGCAATGTTACGTAACTACTCTGCATTGCTACATATTAACATATAACTCTATATAACTCTACATAACGATGATGATGTGACATAACGATGGTGGGGTGTGATGGTATATCTAATAATGAAATACCCAATAATGATATATCAAATAGTGATATATCAAATAGTGATATATCAAATAATGGCATATCTAATAATGATATATCTGATAATGATAAATTTAATAATGATATATTCAATAATGATGTAACTAATAATGATATATCTATAATGATATGTCAATGACGATATCCACTGATATATATATATCTATTTCAATCGAATAACCAATGTCTTACCTGTTGTTACATCTTTTAATTAGCTTTTGAATCTAAAAGCAGTGACGACGATGATGATGATGACGATGATGATGACGATGATGATGATGGTGAGGATGATGATGAGGAGGAGGATGATGATGAAAGCCTCATATGGTAATATGATTAATAATGTTATAAATAGTAATAATAATAAACAGAAAAAGAGAAAAAACAGTAATAATAATAATAATGGTGATAATATTATTATTATTATTATTATCATCAAC